GTCCACCATGTGGGAGTCCAGCGCCTTAACCACTACATCACCTGCGGGTCCCCAAAGAGCTATTTTTTCTTAATGCTTCCCAACTTTCATCTTAACAAGCAGCAACATCCGCCAAATTGGATAAGGGCATTTGGAAAATTCCTGGATGTGATGTTTCAAGTGCTCATGAAAGTTTTTAAATTTAAATATTTCAATATATTGGGGTTTTGAAAGGAATCGTATATTGATCACTTTGTGAAACTAATGGAAAACCAGTCCATTTCTTCCTCTTGTTATTTTCCTGTACCTTGAGAAACAGATCATCTCAGAACTAAGGTTTAGTAAAGACACCTAAAATATTTCAAGTCACTAGCCAGCCAGTGGCATTGTGGTTAAGGTGCTGGGCTCCCACATGGCCAACTGTGGTTTGAGTCCTGGACCTGGAAGCTTGCTTTCTCACTTTCCCTTTCTCTGTCTCTGGTCAAAATTAAATTAAAAATAAAGTAAATAAATACACACACACATACACACACAAATATATATACATATATATTTCAGGTCAATTTTATCTTCTAAAGAGTAATTCTTCAGTTGTGTAAAGCTCTTTAACATCGCTTCAATCTTCTTTCTGTCTTGGGACCTATTTTGGTTTATCATTCACCCTCTCCCTTAAAATGTGGGGCCCAGAAGTGATACAACAGATGTGAATGAAATACTCCCCTTCCTCTTTTTTTTTTCTTTTAAAAAAAAAAAAGGCTGGGCATTCCAAATAGTGGCTTACACTAAACTTGCAATTAACTAAAATCCCCAGTTCTTTTACTGGAACCACCACGTTAGAGCTTATCTGATAAGTAACTGCTTAGCCACTGTCACCTGAAATCCAGAATTTTAATCTTCTTTGTTTAATTTCAGAGAGTTATGTTTGGCCTGGCATGAATTCTACTAGGTTAAACCAACCTAGTCCCTAAGAGAAGTCATTTCTCAAGACTAATTCCCTTTTGCATTAATTCATTCTACGTTGAGTAATAGTTTAGGAACTGAAAAACACAAAACAAGCCTTTTTTAGTCTTAATAAAAACACACATGCAGGAAAAGGGTGAAAAAAATTAGTTAGCTGATGAACCAACCTATTTTAAATTTCTCATATTGATCTGGATGGTTTTTTTTTTCAAGTCAAAACAATTTCTCATAAATGATCAAAACAATTTAATCTTTAGAAATATATTTGTTAAAATGACACACATTCTTGAATGATATAGATATATTGAAGATATACTACAGAACATGGAATGTGGGGTTTTTTTATGCATTATCTCTGATAATCACAACCATCATATGAGGGAGAAAACACCACACACAATATTTTAGAGAATTATTTATTTGGTTTTTTATACTTTTTAAATTTTGACCAGAGAGAGAGAGAGAAAGAGAGAGAGAGAGAGAAAGAGAAAGCCACCAGGTCGAAGACTCAAAACGCGGTCGGCCACGTGGGAATCCGGAGACTTTAACCACCATGTCACCTGCCAGCCCCAACACCATACATATTTTACCAAAGAGAAAACAAAGGCTTAGAGAAGTTATGTAAAGACTTGGCGATATGCAAAGTTTTATTGATTTTAATTCAGAAAAAACTGCTTTGTGATCATTTAACAATATTGCGTCATTGAAAGAGTCTTGACATATTTTCTATGCGAAAATGCCTCATGACTTTACCAACAACCCAATATAACGAGTAAATAATCTCCATACACATACAAGAACCAGAGATGGTTGTTTTCTGATGACTTCACAGCATCCACTTCAAGTGATGCTGCCTGACTTTTCCACACTATCACAAGTATATGATTACCACCGCAAAACTTGAACAATGTGTTAAAATAATTTCTTTAAAACGAACAGGACAATGGATATCAGGTATTCACATTTCTATGGACTGACATAATTGCAAATAAAGACATCCATTTAGTTAGAGAACTGTAAGGCAACCAATTTCTTTCCGTCAAGAATTCCCTTCATTCTGGTTCAAATACCACTCTGATTCAAATACCAATTAAATGACATCATTAATTACTCATCTAGTTGTAAAGTGACCAAACTTGTACTTAAGATGGCTCTTTACAACTGTTCTTTTTCTCTTCTTTCTTTTTTTAGGTTTTTGCCATATGGTGCATGCACTCACTGGGGAGAGAGAGAAACACTGAGAGGGAAAGTGAGAAATCATCCCCTAGGGAGGATGGCCATGCCACAATCCCCTCTTTTCCATTCTCCCCCCTGGGATTTTGGAAATGCACGCACACACGCACATGTGCCTGGCCTGATTTTCAAACCACCAGGTCTGGGGCTTAAACCACAGTCAGCCATGTGGGAGTCCAGTGCTTTAACCACTCCGCCACCTGCTGGCCTATTCTCTACAGGTTTTCTGTTGTGCACAAAAACAAAATGAGGTTCTTTCAAAGTCTGTATAGATGAATCAGAATAAAATGAAAAAGAAAATTTAATACCCTGCTAAATATAACTATTAATAAAATGCACTAAGTATTCAAAATCTCTAAAATAAACATGGAATCTAAAGAACATAATGAAAAGGCCACTAGTAGACCTTAATTCATCTAACAGGCTTTTTTTTTTAAGAATTATTTAATTTTATTTATTCATTCATTTATTTATTTAATTTGACCAGATGGAGACACAGAGAAAGAAGAAAGTGAGAAAGCAAATGATCCAGTCCAGGATTTGAACCGTGGTTGGCCATGTGGGAGTGTCCAGCACCTTAGCCACCATGCCACCTGCTGGCCCCCACTTAACAGTTCACTTTTGTATGTAAAAGTGCACTCCAGAGCGAGGCAGCACTGATTATCAGTGGCACAAATGGATTTTATTTCCACTTAAGGAACATTAATTAAAACTCATGAAGATAACACAACATGCTCCCAAAGACCTGGCTCTTCAGACCGTGACTATGTCTCTACAGTCTTCTTGCCTGCTTCCTTGTCCCTACCAGGTCCGTTTGTCCAAGATAGGCTTCCCACTCTGTAGTTAAGAGTGAGCGTTAACACATGGAACGCCCACCAAGTGCTGGCACTGGCGAGACTGGGAAGCTAACCAAGGGCCAGAGCAGGTATCACTGTGGGCTTTCTTCCACTCTCTGGAGATTTTGTGCCTTAAATTGACTTCAAAATCAGGCTGGCAATGGTCTCGGGCAGTAACAGAAGAGGCAAGAGGGCAAGAGGAAGGGTACTGCTGCATATGCTGGAGGCCACACAGGAAGGCTCCAGGTTTTCTCTGGTCTACCTCAACATTCTAAGCACATGTGATCATGGCTGATTGTAGGGCTTGGGGGAAGAACAGAAGCATGAAGTCTCCTACCTATGGTGTATGTACACATGCACTCTCTTTTCACCCTCACAGGAAAAAAACAAAAAACAAAAAACAAACCACATAGGGTACATAACAAAATCTAGAGGAACACTGAAAATCTAGAAATATATTTAAAATGCACTGAAAGGCGGTGGGCGGATTCAATGATGCTCTAGTGTTTATAAAATAACGGTATACAGGGGACCAGCAGATGGTGTAATGGTTACGTTGCTGGACTCCCACATAGTTGACCACAGTTTAAGTCCCGGACCTGGCATCTTGAAACTCACACCGAGTGCATGTGTGTGCTTGTCCAAAATCCCAAGAGAAGACTGGAGAAGGGATTGTGGCATGACTATCCCCCCACCCTCCCCAGGGAGGTGATTTCTCGCTTTTTGTCTCAGTCTCCGTGGCAAGCATATGCACCCCATAGCAAAAATCTCTAAATAAATAAATAAAATTGGAATACAAAAGGCTGAATCTCAAACCATAAGAGGCACAAGGAAATCCTCCCAGGACAGGCTTCAGGGATGTGCAAATTGTGCAATCAAAAGGGGTTTCACACTCAGAAAGCCCTGGTATTTGGTTAATGTTCTGCTGGGCAAGCAAACTGAGTCATTCTCACCCAGAACCAGAGTCCTACAGACTGTCTTAGAAAATTCCTTCAAGCTGTCCACTCTTCTCCGTTTAAACCACCAATTCTCATCCCAAGAGGTAGTAGCAACCTTTCTACCAGTTGGGCAGCTCTTTCTGTGCCTCAATTTTTCCATAAATGGGGATACTAACAGTGCCTACTCCATAGGGTTTTGTGAAATAAAGTGTGCTAGGCATTCACAACAGTTATTACTCACCACTTAATAACTGTTCATCATAATCATGACCCTTGAAAGGAGAAATCAAGTAACTGCCATTTTTGTATTGCCAGCTCTTGGTGCAGTTTCTCCCAAGGAACGACTTACTTGTTTAACTTCTAAATGGCAGCTAAAGGAGGGCTGATAGGAATGAGGCACACCTAACAGGAACTCATAGAAAAATGCCTAACACAGAGGTTCAGAGGTTCAGCCCAGAGTTCGCGAGGTTCTGCCGCTTCCAGGCTGCTGCTATTATCTGGTTACTGCTAATACTGTCAACGACAGGAGAGGGAAGGAGGAAACAAAATGCTCTGAGGAACTCAGCTATGTGAAAAGACTTACTGCTGACAAATCGTTCCATTACTTCCAGAACCGGACATAAGACGGACAAGTTAAGGCCGGCGACGGAACGAACACCTCTCCTACCCTAGGGCCTCTGGTCCACCGGCAGAATAAGTATTTATGTAATGAGCTGCGGCCACGGCATCTAACGCTGATCAGTCAACTCACTTATTTTTAAATGAGCTAGAAGAACCGGGGATATTGAGAGGTATGTTCCCTGGCCTTGGCAATAACAGAAGAGGCGAGAGGAAAGTAACTGAAGTGTGCAAACCCCGGGGACTCCGCGTCGCCTCCCCGATGGCCGCTACCCGACATGTAGGGTGGTCCGGAAACCCGGCCTCAGGGTCGTCAAGGCGAGCGTGACCGCGGAGACCAGCGGGAAGCCCAGCCGGGCGGGGCTTCCCGGCTGGGGCGGCTCCTACCCTTCCCTCCCCTCCGTCCCCACACCCACGGCTCCCCGCGAGCCAGTACCCGAGGACGGCTCCGGATCCGCGGAACCCATTTCAGCTCTGCTCCAGGCCTGCATGGTAAACATTAGCAGCACGAAAAGAGCCATAGTGCCAAGGACTGACTCAGGGTCCAGCCCCGAGCCTCTGCAGGTTCGCCCCGCGCGGCCCTCCGGCCTGGGCCTCGCGTCACTTCCGTTGCTGGTAACCACATTCCTGTGGGAGGAGGGACAAGGGTTACCCAGCGGGGCGTGGACACGGAAGTAGGGCGACGCTGGGAGGCGGGGCATGGCTAGGAGAAGGGGCCCAAACAGAAGAACCGGGCGGGGCC